AATAAACCGTCTCTATTTTACAACTATCTAATTTTTGTCTATTTGTTTTGTTTGGAAACACAAGAACCTGTAAATCTTAAGTATATGGGTGACCTCTGGACTATGACCCATACCTATCACAGTCTGACCTCTAGGAAGAGATAAATAACTAGTTTTGTGTGGGTATGAGAGGGCTGGGATTGCTAGAACAGACTGGCATGACCAGGGTACAGAGAACTGTTACTTAGTAGACTACAACTTGCCCTACAAGTGTAGATTGCTTTGCTCTCACTGTTTTCCACACCAGAGAAATTTAATAGAAATGCAGACAATTCAGGTATTTTTCCATACCCACATTCTCATGAGCAGAGATTCTGGTATGAGGGACCATCCAACCAAGTAGTCCTCTGGCCCAGTTGATGGGACCAGTTTGAAGGCTGTGCCTATACTTCCCACATTGGCAAGCCTAGATGGGAAAAGTTACTGGCAAGAATTCAGCCCGGGAATGGTCATGGAAACATTGCACACTGGTAGGAACGGTAAGGTAGGACTCAGCTTACAAATGGCCCTTTCTAGGCTATCTTCTTAGGACTTAAAAAAGAAACCAACTCAACATTCCCCTGCTAGTAAGTAAACTGAAAGAACAAGGCTAAGGGGAAAACTATCCTCTACCTCCTCGAGAAGGCTCATACTGCATCTCAGTTTGAGCTTATAGTCCATTATAGCAAAGAAGGCATGCATAGTGGTGAGAGTAGCTGCCAACTATGGCACAGGTCACAAGTCAACAATGAAGATTAACTATTAAAAAGTTGAATGTTAGGATTTTTAAGTGATGTGTTTGGTTGTCAGATTGACAAGGGGTGGACTCTTTTTTTGTTGTTTTTGTTTTTTTAAGACATAGTTGCTCTGGGTAACAGCTCTGGCTGTCTTAGAACTCGCTCTGTAGACCAGGCTGGCGTCAAACTCACTGAGTTCCACCTATCTCTGTTTCCTGTCTCTGAGTGCTGGGATTAAAGGTGTGCACCACCACTGCCTGACAACCAAACACATCACTTAAAAATCCTAACATTCAAATTTGCAGGCAGATGGATGGAACTAGAAAATATCATCCTGAGTGAGGTAACCCAGACTCAGGACAGTCATGGTATGTACTCATTCATAAGTGGATAATAGATGTAAAGCAAAGGATAACCAGACTACAACCCACAGTTCCAGAGAAGCTAGCTAACAAGGAGGACCCAAAGAGGGACGCATGGATCACCCTGGGAAGGGGAAATAGATGAGGTCTCCATGAGCTAACTGGGGGTGGGGAGGCAATGGAGGGTAGGGAATGGGGGATGAGAACAGAAGGAAATGGGATGGTTGAGCTGGAACAGGGATGGAGTAGGAGAGCAATTTAAGAGATACCAGATAGAGGGAGACATCATGGGGATAGGGAGAAACCGAGTGCTAGGGAAGTTCCCAGGAATCCACAAGGATGACCCCAGCTTAGACTACTAGCAATAGTGGAGAGGGTTCCTGAACTGGCTTACCCTGGTAATCAGATTGGTGAATACCCTATGATCATAGAGCCTTTCTGCAGTAACCGATGGAAGCAGATGCAGAGATCCACAGCCAAACACCAGGCCGAGCTCCAGGAGTCCAGTCAAAGAGAGAGAAGAGGGATTCTGTGAGCAAGGGGCATCAAGATCATGATGGGGAAACCTACAGAGATAACCAAACCAAACTAGTGGGAACTCGTGAAATTTAGATCAACACCTGTGGAGCCTCCACGGGACTGGACTTGACCCTCTACATAAGCGAGACAGTTGTGTAACTCGATCTGCTTAAGGGGTCCCCTGGCAGTAGGATCCATCCCTGGTGTATGAGCTGGCTTTCTGGAGCCCATTACCTATGGTGGGACACTTTGCACAGCCTTGATGCAGGGGGAGGGGCTTGGACCTGCCTCAACTGAATGTACCAGGCTCTGCTGACTCCCCATGGGAAGCCTTACCTTTTCGGAGGAGGGAAATGGGGGGTGGGGGGAGGAAGGCTTGGGGGAGCAGGAGGAGGGAAGAGAGAGGGATCTGTGATTGGTATGTAAAATGAATAAAAAAAATTCTTAATAAAAAAAATCCTAACATTCAACCCATGGCACTCAGAGGCTCATGTCCATCTCATAATCCTAAATGTATTAATGTATTTAGTCCAACTTTAAGTATCACCACAATTTTTAAAACTCCCAACACTACTTAAAAGTCTGATGTGTGGTGGCACATGCCTCTAAGCCCAGCACTTGGCAGATAGATGTAGGTGAATCTCTGAGTTCAAATCTCTGAGTTACACTCTGGTGTAAACGCTGAAAGATCAGAGAGAAAAAAGAACAAGTCACAGGCACATCTCACCTCACCAACTCCTCAGCCTGAAAAAGACTTGGGTCTCTGAGGAAGTTGAAGATTAGATAATTATAGTTTTCCTTGTTAACAAATTCAGAAAAGAAACTCACTGAAGAGGTGTAAAGTGTATAAGTTTAAAAGACACCAAAAGACAGTACTCGGTTGGTAAAACAAGTTAGGATAGAAAGTGAATTAGGTACATTTTGGACTCCCCAAATTAGGATAGATAATGGAGTACTTTCTCTGAATTTGTCAAATGTTAATGGACTGGACATTGTTAATGTACTTCTTAACTGTATATATTGTATTTATTTATTGTACTTATTGTATATAGTTTTTCTTATATTAGTTATAACCTTCTATTATTTTAGACAAAAAAGGGGAAATGTGGTGATATATCCCTAATAAAATTTGCCTGAAGATCAGAGAACAGAACAAGCCACTAGATTAAACATAGAGGCCAGACAGTGGTGACACACACCTTTAATCTCAGCACTTGAGATCTCACACCTTTAATCCCAGTATTTGGGAAGTCACACACCTTTAATCCCAGCACTAGGAAGTAAGTAATATGGTGGGCGGAGAAAGGTATATAAGGCATGAGGAGACAGGAACTAAGGCTTTTTCGGCTGGAGCCCTTTCGGCTGGAGCCTTTTTGGCTGGAGCCCTTTCAGGCTGAGGAGTTGGTGAGGTAAGAGGTGGTGGCTGTGATTTGCTCTGCCTCTCTGATCTTTCAGCTTTCACCCCAATATCTGGCACCAGGATTTTTTATTAAAAGACCATTTAGAATTCGTGTTACATACTTCAATTAAATTAACCAAGAAAATACCTCACAGGTGTGCCCAGGTTTGCATGTCACTTGATTCTGGATCCAGTGAGGTTGACACCCAATATTAATAACCACAGATCCCATTTAAAAAGTTAGGAACTGGACAGTGGTAAGGAAAGAACAGACCAAAGCAAAATTGAAAATCAGGGCAAACACCAAATCTCTCAGTTTCATGTTAAGTGTCTGGAGCTCTTGGGAAAAAATTTTATTCTTGCCAAATTTTTCACAACCCCACACTCAACTGCATGACCATATACGGTTACTAGTCACAGATTAAAAGGCTAGGCTCTAAAAGAACATTTTAAAGGGGTTAGTGGGTTGGTCTACATTCCAGAGGCTGGTTGTCCAATGCTGTCTGTGTGCAGGAGAGGCAAAGAAGCCGGTAGCTGCTTGGTTCAAGAAGTTGGACAACTCAGCCGGGCGGTGGTGGCGCACGCCTTTAATCCCAGCACTCGGGAGGCAGAGCCAGGCGGATCTCTGTGAGTTCGAGGCCAGCCTGGGCTACCAAGTGAGTTCCAGGAGAGGCGCAAAGCTACACAGAGAAACCCTGTCTCGAAAAACCAAAAAAAAAAAAAAAAACAAAGAAGTTGGACAACTCAGCAGTCTCAATTTGATGCTGAAACCTGAGCATGCCTGGCAGTCACTGATATTGAGTCCACAGTGAAAGGCTAAAAGTCTTGGATTCTAGCCGGGCGGTGGTGGCGCAAGCCTTTAATCCCAGCACTTGGGAGGCAGAGCCAGGCAGATCTCTGTGAGTTCGAGGCCAGCCTAGGCTACAGAGTGAGTTCCAGGAAAGGCACAAAGCTACACAGAGAAACTCTGTCTCAAAGAAAAAAAAAGAAGAAGGAAAAAAAATCTTGGATTCTGATGTCAGTAGAAGATCTTGGTAGCAGTGATCTACACACTTGCTCAGGAGATGACAAGAAAGAAGGTACACGCGCACTGCATTTCCTTGGACCTCTTCATATCTGCCTGTAGACTGTGCTTTCCAAATTAAAAAGCCGTCTTCCCCCTCAGTTATCCTCTCTGGAAATACCCTTAGACAGGCCTGGGAGAGCTGTCTCCTAAGTGAGCATATTAGTTTGCTCTCTGCTGCTGTGATAAAGGCCATGACCTTTATATTTAACTTGGGGAGAAAAGAGTTCTGTCACCTTATACATACTTACAAGTCCTTCATGAAGGGAAGTTGGGGCAAGAACTCAAGACAGGAAGCTGAAGGCAAGAACTAAAGCAGAGAGCATGGAGGGATGCTGTTTAATGGCGTGTTTCTCCCAGCTTCCTTGGCCTGTTTGTTCACACCACTCAGGACCACCTGCTCAGGAGTAGCACTGCCCACAGTAAGCTGGATGCTCCCATATCAATCATCAATCAAGAAAATGCCCCCACAGACTTGCCTACAGGCAATCTGATGAAGGCCTCTTCTCCACTGAGGTTCAGCTTCCCAGATAACTGTAGCTTGTGTCAAGATAAAAACAACTAGTCAGGAAATTTGACCTTGTGACAACTTGATATACCAATACATTACTATTAAACCATAACTTTTCCTTTTTTTATCCCCAAGATCTCATGTTGATTTCACAATACAGAACACAGTGTAACTTTAAAATTCCCAGTCTTTAAAATATTTAAGCACTTTAAAAGTTCAGACTCTTTAAAATATCCAATCTCTCTTTTTTTGCATCTCAAATATATTTATTGATGCCACGCCATAATTGGTACTTAGACAAGTTTACAGCAATGTTCCATGCTCCCATCTAACACAGCTTACTTAACTTTAGCCAACAGATACTTCATCTTTACTGGACTCAAGGAGTGGGTTAATGATGCCCATGAGAAGGTGTAGAGCCTTTCGAAGCTTTACTTCTTTTATCAGCACTCCTGACTTTATAACTGATGAAGGTCATCAACTTGTTTGCTACCCAAGTGTCCTGGTAAAGCTGAATAAAGTAGGGTTTTATGGGGTCCCAGACATTGTAAATAAGGCTTTGAAACAATCTCATCAGGACCAAGGCTGTAGGCTATACTAGACTCTATAACTTAATTGGGAAAGGTCCAATTTTCAAGGTTTGATTCGGAGGCAAAACTTTTTCTGTTTTGTTTTAGTTTTTGAAGAAGGGTGTTCTCAATGGGTAGCTCTGGCTGTCCTGGAACTCACTATATATGTAGACCAGGCTGGTCTTGACCTCCTAAAGATCTACCTGCCTCTGCTTTCCAAGTGCTGCAATTAAAGGTGTGGGCCACCATGCCTAGCCTCAAATGTCTCTTTAATAGTTCAAAGTCTCACAACTATGGGTTCCTGTAAAATCAAAAATAAGTCACATACTTCTTATTCCAAGAGAAAAGAACCAGACACACTTATAATTAAATCAAAGCAAAACCAAAAATCTAACAGTGTAAATAGCTCAGTGTCCAATGTCTGAAACTCAGTGTTCTGGGACCCAAAGGTTTTAGGAAGCTCCATCTCTCTGGATCTGCCACACGCACACATACATACACACACACACACACACACACACACACACACACACACACACACACACACACACACACACACACACACAGCCTGTCTCATACATTCAGGCTGCCTCCACTGCACTCCTGGTATCTAAAATATTCTGGGGTCCTCACTGCAACCGGGTTGCACCTTCACCAGTGGCCTCTCCTGGCCCCTCTTTAGGGACTCCAACTCTGTCACACACCATGCCAAACCTCAGCTGCTCTCATGAGCCCTTCAATCTGCAATGTTCATGCTGTCAAAACCAGCAATGTGGGAGATTCTTACAAATTAACAAACTTGGTTGCCACCTTGAGATGTATCCCTGATCCTTTCTGGACCACAGCTCTGCATGCTGACCCTGAGAAAATAGTTTCTAGAAGATTTCATCTCAATGATGCTGGTCTCACGACTGATTTTTCAGTCCCAGCTAATGAGTAGCAATTGTCCCAGTAAATAAAAGGTTTCGCTTCAATGGTGCTGAACTCTTGTTAATCACAACTGATCTTTGAGCCCTAGCTGACCAGAAACCATGGGTTCTTAACTCAAGATATCACATTAACAGCCCTGAAAGAGCCTTTAAGGGACTCTCAAACCCCCCTCTAACACTTTACAAGTCAGGCCTCCATCAACAGTCTGCATACTAGAGAGACTGAGATCCCAGGAGCTGCTGAGTTCAAGAAGCTGAATGCCTTCACAGCCCCAATCTGTTGTTGAAAGTCTGAAAGCTCCCTCGTGTTGCTGGGATAGAGTGCATGCTGGATGGCTGAAGAAGCTGGAGTCTGATGTGAGGGGCGTGTCTGAGCAGCAGCCAGATCAGGAAGAAGAGATGGAAGGTGCACACACACGGATTCTTCTTTGGACCTTTTTATATCTGGGCCACCCACTGCAGGTTCCACCCATTTTGAATGTAGGTCTATCCTGTTAATTCTCTCCAGAAACACCCTCATAGGCAGACTTGGGTGTGTCTCCTAGGTGATTCTAAATACTGTCAAGCTGACACTCAAGACAAGACCAACCACCCTCAGAATCCTAGCAAAGTACTCTGATCATTATAGATATTGCCTGCTGAATAATTTAATAAATAATAAACAAAGCAATTATCTAACTAATTCAATGGTAAGTACCTAAAAAACTATAAAGCCTATTAAATCTCTAAGAAATATCTCATAGGCTATTTACTGGGAAAAAGAAACCCCATTAACAAAATCTATACTATACAATATATAGTATCATATATTACTGTATAATAATAAAATTAATAATTTTAACAATGGCCTTTAAAGAAAGGTCTGACAAGAAACTGTCAACAAAACCCTTAAGCCTTAATTATGAGGATGTCTTAGAGGTAGAACAGCAAGCAGAATTACCTTTAACTGGGTTTGGTGGCATGAGCCTATAATCCCATCTACCTGGGAGGCTAAGGCAAGAGAATTCCAATTTCAAGGCCTGCCTGGGATGCAGAGTGAGTTCAAGCCCAGCCTGAAGTTAGCAAAACCCTGTATAAAAATAAAAAATAAATTTAAAAATGGATTTGGGAACTGAGTGTGGTACACATCTTTAATCCCAGCACTTGGGAGGCAGAGGCAGGTGGATCTCTGTGAGTTTCAGACTAACCAGGGCTTCAATAGTGAGTCCTTGCCTCAAAAAATCCAAAGAAGGAGGGTTGGGGATTCACTTGTAGAGTTGCAGCCTACCATCCCCCAACAGCCTCTGTTCAATTATCAGTGCCGTGACTTTTTAAAGATGTCACCATCAGTCAAAGTTAATAATTACATAATTCTCATTACTGATCATAGCTACTACTAAAATTTTCAGCTAGCTAACGATGCCACTTTGAAATCAACATCTAGAACACTGAAGAAATGCTTCAAGACTTTCTAAAAGCATAGGATCTTAGCATTAAGAAAGCTATGAGTCAAAGAAATTTAGCTTACCATCTAATGAAGGAATCCTTTCTGTAATATATAATTCTTAGGATGGTCACATCTGTGCTCACAAACTTCTAGTGACAAAGTAATTCTCTTTCCACAAAGCTGTCAGATTATAGGATTACTGTCTAATAAATGGTTACACTTTACACTGATCTCAAATTTGTCTTCCTGTAGGTTTTACCAATTGGTCTTCACTCTGTTCTGTGGAGTTTCATTGTTCTTTAATATTTTAGTCCTTAGTTCTTAAAACAGTCAGAGAAAGGCTGTCATCCTTACTATCTCAGTTTTTTCAGCATAGACATTATATTCTCCAAATATTTTTACATGGTATATTCTCTACACTAACCCAATTATTTTTAAAGTGAAGTACCTAGAAATGATCACAATACTCGAAATTTAGTTAATATAAAATGCCTTCCTAGATATTATTAAAATAGGCTATGATACAGGCTTTCACTAGGCAGGTCAGGCTGGTTTCAAACTCCTGATCTCAAGTGATCTTTTGTTTAATTTATTTATTTATTTTACATCCTGGCGACAGTTTACCCTCCTTCCTCTCCTCCCAGTCCCTCCTCTCACTTCCATCTGTCCCGATCCCCCAATCCATTCCTCCTCTGTTTCTGTTTAGGAAAGGGCAGATCTCCCATGAGTATCAACAAAACATGGCATATCAAGTTGCAGTAAGACTAAGCACCTCCCTCATGTATTAAGGCTGGGCAAGGTGACCCAGTATGAGGAGTAGGGTCCAGAAAGCCAGTAAAAGAGTCAGAGACAGCCCCTGATCCCACTGTTAGGAGTCCCACAAGAGGACCATGCTACACAAGTTATCTTAATGCCTCAGCCTCCTGAATAACTGTGACTATGGGAAGGAACCAGCACTCCTGGCTGTACTAGTTACTTTTCTTATTGCTGCAATCTAATACCTGACAAAAGCAAGTAAAGAAAAGAAAGGTTTGTTTTGAATTACAGTTCAAGGGGAAGTCCATCATAGCAGGAAAAGGCATGGTGGTAGGAATGGGAGGCTTCCAGTCATATTGTATCCACAACCTAAGCTGGTGCTGCCCATATTCACAATGGTTCTTCTTACCATAGTTAACCTCACAATCTCCCACAGACATACACAGAGCTCTAACCTAATCTAGATTAATCCTTCACAGACATGCACAGAGGCTGGTCTCCTAGGTGATTCTAGACAGTGTCTAATTGGTAATCAATTTAAACTGCTAAACTGGTTACAGATCTTTTCCCATGAACTACAGTCAAACCAAATGCACCTCTGTCCCCAGTCTAGTATATAGGCAACTGGCAGTACTGTACATATATAGTTACTTGCTTAATTGAAATATTGGCTTTTGTAGGCTAAGAAGTGTCAAGTGACAGTTCAAAGGCATAGAACAAATTGATGAGTTAAGGTGTAAAACTGAGCATGGTGGAACACACCTAACTCTCACCAGGAGACTTTAAGACAGGAGGATTAAGAGTTCAAGGCTAGACTTGTCTACATATAATATCTTAATAATAATAATAATATGTAAGTCCAAGGCCTGCTAGACTTTATATCAGTATTTCATTAATTGCCTTAAAGTAGTTCACAATTGATATTAACAATAAAAGTAAGATAAAAAGTATGAAAAGGGTCGGGCGATGGTGGCGCACGCCTTTAATCCCAGCACTCGGGAGGCAGAGCCAGGCAGATCTCTGTGAGTTCGAGGCCAGCCTGGTCTACCAAGTGAGTTCCAGGAAAGGCGCAAAGCTACACAGAGAAACCCTGTCTCGAAAGACCAAAAAAAAAAAAAAAAGTATGAAAAGGATATTCATTTACATGATCAATCTCATTTGCAGTGTACGGAACATTAGACAGAGAATCTAGTGGCATTTATATTTTGGGGGTAACCAGAAGCCATCTAACTGGACTTAAGGCTTCCTTGATAGAAGGGAACTCATGCCTGGTGTTGTAAAGTTAGCTATGACTGGTAAGATCATGAACCCTAGAGGAGAACTTACTACTGTCACTTTCCTAAACCCATGTCATTGCTAACCTAAGCATTCTAAATACTGATCCTTGTCTCTACAGATAAGAGTAGTTCTCGCCCCTTATCTTTTTGAAGCAGGTGGAAATTATTACAGAACTCCATAACTGGTCAAAATGTAGAGAACAGTAGACCATGGAGTATACAACCCCCAAAAATACATCTACAATGCAACCCCTATGCTTAAGGCTAAGGGAACATCTCAGAAGAGGGGGCAGAAAGAGTGTAAGAGCCAGAGAACTAGTGAATGACAAGGAAGCTACATCAATGAGATCTCAACAACATGGTTGCCTAAACAGGATCTGCATAATGATACTACCAGTTGACATAGCAGTGCAGAAGGGGGAAATCTCACAATGTCCCACCCCTAATGAAAAGCTAGAGGTAATTAATGGCTGCTGAGAGAGGGAGAATCAGTCTTCTCCAGAGATGAGAGCCCTGAGACGTTATCCAATCCCAAGCAGTCAGCCCTCTAAACACATACATATGAACAACACTAAATGGACTCAGCAAGGGGTGTGTGTGTGTGTGTGTGTGTGTGT